CCCCCCCCCCCCGCCACTTCCCCTCACTCCCCCGCAGATCGCCGAGTTATAGGTCCTTTTCCCAGAGCAGCCGTTCTCACTTCATAGACGTCTCTTTTTTCTCCTCATCTTCTCTCTTTTCAAAAAGTATATCTATACACAACAGTGAAGCTATCAATTTACAATAGAGTGGCTCAACGATAGATTCAATAACGGCTCCAATAATGCGGCTAAAAGCGAGGGAGACAGGTCGAGGATGAAAGGGGAGAGTGAAAGGTATGACAATATTCCCCCCATCTTTATCCCGGGAAATACTCGGTATCCCGCTGGGGCACCGCTCTGTTTATGGATGGAGACGCTACTCGAGTTGTCAGGGGTCACCCCTGCGCTGTTTACAAACGTCAATATGTCAGATTTTTTTTCCGGGGGGAGGTGCAGGAAATAATTCATTGGGGGTTAATTAAAGCGAGGGGCATGGATTTATTGGGGGGAGGGGGAAGGGAGTTGACCCACACGATTTAACCCGATTTTTTTTCATCATTTGGGGTTAAAATGCGATGTAATCACGTGAAATCTACTTTATTTTGAAGTCATGGTGTCACTCTTTGATTAAATCAATTTGAAAACATGTAGAGGGCGAACTAAATTACTGAATGGACCGGAATTACTGGAATTAGGTGACTTGAAATCATTGCTGGAAACATTTTGGTAACCACACTGAAATCGTTTGGAATGAACTAAGTTCAGTAGCGAAGTGGTAAAATCGTGGTTTCAGTCGGCTCATCTCCCAGTTGAGTTTTTGAGGAGTATTTCCGAATCTAAGGGAGATGGCGAAATTTTCGTGATTACATTTTTTGTAGCTCTCAATCGGCTCTACAGAAAAGCTTATAATAAAAATTTTGCCATCTCTCTTAGATTCCGAGATATTCATTAAAAACTGGCTCATAATCAAAAATACCATTTACTACTTCGCTACTGATTTAATCTTGACGCGAGATTCTTTTTCTTGATGAGGTCCGAAAGGACCAGTTGTCTCTCAAGGTTCCTTCAGAGG